AGTGTTCTATGGTCTGCTGGGGTAATAATCTAGTGTAAAGCGCATAGAGCTTGCTTTCGAGTGGGGACATGCGCTATACAAATACTATTTATTAATACATGTATTTTATTATTAATTCTTTTTTTCAGGCGACTTTACTCAATATTAAGAAAATGGGCTCTAAAAGTAGGATGAAGGAAGTGATTTTTCGCGAAAGGCAGATGGATACTTGGTAGAATAACACGTACCCATGCAGGAAAATAACTCAAACCCTTTATAATAATATGTGAGGAAGCGTGGTGGAATCAGGCTCTCGTCAATTTTTGGGCATGTAGAAGTGTTGGTATCATCTTAAAGCTTGTTCACTTGTCTTTATTTGGATGGAACAAATATCCATTAATCTTGGATACAAGTCGAGATATTTGCCGCCAAAGATTAGTTATTTCCTTAGCTTAAGAGTCCGTGGTAACTGAAAATTTACATTTTCTGTGCCTTTAATCAGCGTTTTTCAGAAAAATCCACACAGAAATGAGTTCTTTAATGGGCTTGAAAGGTGTTGAGCCAAAAAGTAAAAATTTAATAAAAATTCGCAAACTTGCGGAAAAATGCAAGTTTTTTCACTTTGATTATTTTGACGAGAGCCTGATTCCACCACGCTGGCTCACATATTATAAATCAGAATAAAATCTATCTCTTCATCAATAGTATGTAATGACAAAGGCCTGATATCTCAAGGGGGCTCTCGTGGCATAGAGGGTTTTGTTTTTGCCTTTCATTTAAAGGTCCCGGTTTGATTCCGGGTAGCGACCCCCCCCCCTTCCCCAAAAAAAAAATAATAAAAATTCTTCCATACAATTGTCTCCTTTCACCTCCTTTCCTGCTCTCTAGCAATGTTATGTCGTCTGCTTTCTTCTTCACTTACTGCCCCCACCCCCTCACCTCCTTTGCCCTCCACTGGGCTCCTGACTCTTTCTGCAGCCTTTATACTGCTCCTCCTTGGCCCCTTCTTACTACTGTCTAGCTGCCACACCCCTGATCTTTTGGTAGGTAAGAACTACACCTAGCCTTCTCGGACAAGCGCGAAAATTCTCGGAGGTCCCGTGTGCAAGCTGTGCACGTTAAAGTTTAAAGTTCCCATTGTGGTCCAAAATCGATAAGTGTTGGCTCGGCCGCAATCCGGGCAAAATTCATAATTTCCTACCAACTGAAAATGTTTAATGTTTCTCTCGCGCTCATGTGACCTTATGTAGTAGCGAGCGCCGTAAAACATTTGCAAAAAAACAAAAACAACATCAAAATAAAAAAATACAAAAACAAAAAACAATTTTTATAAAAACGAACCCTAAAAACCCATCAACAACAACTTAAAGAGCGGGATCGATGGATCTAAGTACGTCTGTCTCCGAAAGGATCCGGCCGAGTAGATTTCAGACCACCCCGTTGGTGGTTGGAACCAGGGGTATCTGTTTCGTAATCCAGAGGGATACCACGAGAGATACCACGAGAGATACCACGAGAGATACCACGAGAGATACCACGAGAGATACCACGAG